CCCCCCCGCCCCCGGCAAGGGCGGTCACACATCTCCTCTCGCCCTTTCCAGCAGAGACCCCCCATGGCCTCCCCACCAAGGGCTGGGGTGAAGCGGGCAGCAGGCGATGGGGCCTTGGGGCCCCCCGGGAAGAAGGTGGCGCAGGAGGAGGAGGAGGCCACGCGTGCCGCCATCAAATTGCCCTCCGCGGGAAAGGTACGTACGGCGTCCACCGCTCTCCCGGTGTCCGCGGGGCCAGCCCCCGTCACGGGACGCGTGGCGAGTCCGTGCCAACTGGTGCCCGCCTGGACGAGCAGCGTGGGGGAGTAGCTAGAGGGCCGGGAGAGTCTCGGGAATCCCTCCGCCACGTCCGAGATCCCGGCAAACGGCAGACCTCCTGGGACACGGCGCGCGGATCCCGCTGCGCCCCGCAGAAGGGAGTCTCCAACCGCCCCCACCTGTCGCTGCCTCTTCCGACAGAACGTCCCTGCAGGGGGATGGGCACTTCTTACTCCGCCAAATACAAGTGTCTGCTCTCCTGCCCGCTTCCTTTTCTAGCACCACCGCTGACAGTCCTGCCTCCAGGCCGCAAGGGTTCCTCCAGCATGCAGGTCGTAGGTTCGTAGATGTAGGGTCGGAGGGGATCTGAGCAGATCATCAAGTCCGACCCCCTGCCCTGGGCAGGAATGAATACTGGGCTCATACGTCCCCTGGGAAGTTTAAGTTCATGTGACCCCAGCTAGGTAGTTATCCAGTCTGCTTTTAATGACCCCTAAGGTAGCGAGCATCACTTCCCGTGGAAGTTGGTTCCAGATCCTAGCCACCCTGACTGTGAAGTAGTTCTTACAAATGTCTAGTCTGAACCTACGCTACTTGTGGCCGTTATTCCTTGTTACTCCGGGAGGCTCTTGGGAGAACAGGGACTCTCCTGTTCCCCGCTGGTCCCCCCTGGTGAGTTTATAGACGGCCACCAGGTGCCCCCTCAGCCTTCTCTGTGGAGGCTGGACAGGTTCAGGCCCCTTAGCCTCTCCTCCCTGGATCTGCTCGAGATGCATCTGTGGATGCACGACAAGGTGCGGTTGACTTTACTGACCGCGTCCCCACACTGTCGGCCCACGCTCATTTTGGTATCAATAATGACTCCCAAGATCTTTTTCTGCCTGTGCGTTGAGGATAGGGAGTTTCCCCAGCCTGTAGATGTGCTGCTGGTTCTTCCTCCTCCGGTGCAGCGCCTTGCACTTGTCAGTGTTGAATCCCATCCTGTTCTCATTCGCCCACCCCTGGAACCTGTCCAGATCTAGTTGTATCCTGTCCCTCCCTTCTAGTGTGCCCACCTCGCCCCACATCTTGGTGTTGTCAGTGAATTTGAACAGGGTAGCTTTCACCCCCTCATTCAAGTCGCGGATGAAGATGTTGAACAGCGCGGGCCCGAGGACCGAGCCCTGGCGGACCCCACTGCCCACATCCCTCTAGGTCAAAAATGACCCATCCACCACCACTCTCTGGGTTCAGCCCTTCAACCAATTGGCGACCCATCTGACTGTAGGCATCAGTGCCACAGTTGCCTAGCTTTTTAATGAGAATGGGGAGGGAGACGGTGTCAAAGGCCTTCCTGAAGTCCAGAAAGACACCTGGGTTCTCTGGGAGAAGAGTGGGGCCTTGGGGCTGAGAGCAGGGGGGCCGGGAGCTGTGATGGGAGCCTGGATGCCTGGGTCCCCTGGTTTCCCACATACCTCTGCAGCGATGTGACAGATTTTCTGCTGCTGCAGGACTGTGATAGGAATAGGAGTCCCCCTCGCCTGGCTGACCCCATGGCGTCCACCCCAAAGAAGCCCAAGCCCCTGGGGGCCAAGCCAGAGCCTGCCCCCAAGCCAAAGGGGCCCGACCGGAAAGGTGAGCAGGCTGGGAGCCTGGCCTAGTTGGGACACCTGGGTTGTTTGTGGGGAGGAGATGCCTAGGGCACCTGGACAGCAGTGGAGCTGGGAGCCCAGACACCCCGGTTCTCTGGGAGTGGGGAGCTGGGAGCCCGGATGCTGGAGTCCTACAGGAGTGGACGAGCGCCTGGGTCCCCTGGGACGGGGAGGGGCTGAGAGTCCAGACCTCAGGGTTGTCTGGGAGGGTTGGGATCTGGGAGCCGAGAGCAGTGGGAGCCGGGACACCTAAGCTCTCAAACCTGCCCTTTCTCCCTTTCACAGAGGAGTTGGAGCAGGTGGACAAGAGGCTGGAAAGCTTGAATCAGGACCTGATGAAGAAGAACCAGCACCTGCAAGACCTGGCCACGCAACTGGTGAAGGAGACCTGCTCCATCGCTCTGGAGGTGGGGCCCAACTCCTTCCCCGCCCTTCTTGGCTGCACCCAGGCCTGGGGCACAGGGGTCCCAATCCAGGGACTGGCTCACCCCCTTCCCCTCCTCCCCCACCCCTTTCCCCGGCAGTACTGGGACCTGAAGGACAAGGTGATGTCTTCCGAGACCACGGTGCGGGACATCGAGGCCATGGTGAAGAACCTGCAACAGGACATCAAGAAGCACCTGGAGCTGCAGGATGAGATGTGCTGCTCGGAGACCAAGCTGCTGGGTATGGAGACCACAGTGGAGAACCTCCAACGAGACATCAAAAGTCAGTACAAGTGGGATAAGAAGCTCGAAAAGCAGCTGGCCAAGGCCTTAAAGCAGGTGGGGGTTCCCCCTCCCCCCTTCCCTGGGGAGGCTGGGAACCCGGATGCCTGGGAGACGTGGGGGTGAGAGGTGAGAGTAGGGGAGTGCTGGGAACTGGGACGAGGTGGGGGAGAGCTGGACGCCTGGGTCCCCTGACCCCTGCATACCGTCCCCAGATGAAAAAGAACTTGTGGAGGCTGTGGCTCTGTGTCAGGAACAAGATCTGCCCCGGCCCAGCTGAGCCGGCAGCCCCCGCCCCCAAAAAGCCGAGGCCTGAATCCCTGGGGCCCGACCTGGATCAGCCAGACGGGAGAGGTGAGCAAACTGAGGGCGGGGTCTGGTTGGGGGTGGAGCCTATGTAGATATGGGTTGGGTATACTAGGGCATGGCCCTTGGGTGAGTGGAGCTGAAGCAGCTAAGGGGGTGGGTGGGGCCTGTGCAGTCATGGGGCAGGGCTGGCTGTGGGGCTTGGGTCCCAGGCAGGGTAGGCTACGCTGAGTATCCTGTAGGATCCTATGGGAGTGGGCAAGCTGGACACCTGGGTTGTCTGGGAGGTAGGGGCCTGGGGGATGAGACATGGGGAACTGGGGTCCAGATACCTGGGTTCTCAGAGCTGCCCCTTCCTCCACCTCCCAGAGGAATTGGAGCCACTGGATGAGGGGCCAAAAAGCTCAAACCAAGACCTGAAGGAGACAAAGTATGTGCTGAAGAAGTACTGCCGCATCTCGCTGGAGGTGGGGCCCATTTCCCCTGCTGCCCAGCCCCAGCCGTTCCCTGCTGCCTCAGCCCTGGATCTGGCTGCATCCAGGGGTGGGGCTTCAGGACCCTGATCCAGGACTCAGTTTCCTCTCTCTCCCCGGCAGTTCGTGAAGCTGCAGGACACAGTGAAGAAATCGAAGACGAAGCTGCTGGACCTGAAGTCCTTGGTGGAGGACCTGCAGTGCGACAAGAGGAAACAGGTAGATGAGGCCTTGCAGCAGGTTGGTGGGGTGCCCTCCCGAACCGGGCTGGGTGCCTGGGTCCTCTGGGAGAAGTGGAGGCTCGGGGTGGGAGTGGAGTGGGACTTGGAACTGGGGTGAGGTTGGGGGGGAGCTGGGAGCCTAGATGCACGGGTCTCCTGACCTCTGATATCTATCCCCCACCTCCTCCCCCACTAGCTGGACGAGAACATGCAGGGGTTGCTGCAGCACTGTGATGGGGATGGTACCTGCCTTGGCCTGGTTGAGCCCATGGCCCCCACCCACAAGGAGCCCAGGCCTGAGCCCCTGGGGGCCAGGCAAGAGCCTGCCCCTGCCCCTGCCCCTGCGGGGCCTGATCAGAGAGGTGAGTCGTTTGGGTTGGGGGCGGGGGGTGCATGCAAACGTGTTGGGGTGGGGCCTTGGCAGATATGGGTGGGGCATGCTGGGGAACTCCCCCCGTGGCACAGCAGCAGCAGACCAGGCGCTCAGGGTGCAGGCGCCCGGCGGGGCACAGCTCCGGCCAGCACTGCACATTGCAGCGAGAGGCAAAATGTCCACTCGGCTGTCTGTATCGCCAGCGCTCCCTGCCACACACGCACAGTCCCTGCGCAGGAGTGATTTGTTAACAGATATTTTAACAAAGTTAAAGCTGGGTGCCCAAGCTTGTCATGAGGCTTCTTTTTAGAGAGCACTCTTACAACACAATGACCAAATGTATTTTCTTTCCTTTTCAGATTAACTCTTAGTTAGTGCCTTAGGCATACGTTATATTTAAGTATTAAAACATATTTTGTGGGAGCAGTATGGCTTTTATTAAGACAGTGTTTAGATTACATTTCTGATTTGGAGACTGTTATAACTTATTTTTTATGGACATCTTCTGATTTAAAATATCATCTTTTTTCCCCCAAAATGTTATTTCCTGTGTATTCCAGTCTTACTTGAACTGAGTAGCAGGCTCATTTGAAAAACAAAACATACTTATATTTTCAGCACCACGAGCTCCAACTAACTGGAGACTTGGCAAGCTTCTGGGTCAGGGCGCATTTGGCAGAGTATATCTATGCTATGATGCTGATACAGGAAGAGAATTGGCAGTTAAACAAGTTCAGTTTGACCCCGACAGTCCAGAAACCAGCAAGGTAAGAGACCGGAAAGAGGCATTTGTAAAGGACACTGTGAGAGTTTGATCTAAGCAGATGTTGCTTTTCTCTTCTCTTTGTCTCCTTCCAAATAGTCACATGCTTAATCTGTCTACATGTCTACACGATAGAGATCTCATCTTATTAAAATATTTGAGAAGATAATTCAGTTCATTTATTACACTGTTCCATCACATAAGGTTTGTGTTTCCCATGTATCTTGCTGAAAATAATGTGTTATCAGATTCAGTGCAGCCTGAGGCTATAAAGCCTAAATACTAATCTAATTTTTAAGTAAATGCATGCTGCGGAAATATTGATGTAGCTGAATGAAAAATTTAGGAACTAACACATCTTTTTGTTCATTGTACAATGAAGCCAGCAAAGAGTTTTGCCAAAGAACAGCGTTAAGTGAACATGTTTTAAGTACAAATGCATGTTGGTGGTCAAGTCCAGTGCCAGTTAACGTAATGTGGCTGAACCCCAAATTGTTTCCCCAGAAGCATTTTTACTGCTTTTGTTGAGCATGGTTTGGATTGGTCTCATCTGAATTTGCCCTTTAAATAGTCAGAAAAGAACTAATGTAAAAATGTCACCAGTGGGACTCTCTAGATCTATTGCCTTTCAAGTTGAGCCTGCTGGTTTTGTTAAGACGATAATGAGATATGGTATTTCCAGTCGTTAGCATTGCAGTCATTATTGCTGCAGGAGAACGAGCTGGATGCTACGCCAGCTCTTCGTGCATCATGTGCAGAACTGACTGAAGCCAGTTTGTCGACTCTTCTGGAGGCATAGGAGCAAAGAAAGAAACGGTGGTCGGGTGACTGTGGTTTACAAAATGTAAATAATGAGTTTGCTCTGGAGACGACAAACACAGACCTCGTGCCCTCAGCAGTTACTGTTCAGTGGACAACCACACTTCCCATCTCTTTTTTAAAACAAATTCAAATCCATACCAAGAAAGGTTTCTTCTAACTTTGGAAACTTTTGAGTACCACAAGTGATTTGCAGTGGATAAATAGCAAATGTTAATGAAGGCCTTCCATGTGGGATCTCTGTAATCCTGTAAAATTTCATTTTAGAGCCGGTTTTAAAAATCTTATACAGCAAAACTTTACAAACAGGAAACAGCTTTTTTAGCCCTTTTTACCTGCTTCCCATGCATTGGGGAGGAAAAACAATTAAACTGTGTACGGGGAATTGATGCATTTAGATTTACGAATGTAGTCCTTACTTGGAGTAAAGTAAGAATTGGTATTAAAGGTTCCTGTAGACAGATATAAATTAAGAAAGCGTGTAACCCAGTGTTACAGCATGGCTTTTGAATTTCTCCATGCTTAACTAAGTTGTCAGATGTGTTATATCTAATGAGCTGTGAAATGAAGAGAGTGAGGACTCTTGGAGTTGAGAGAGGCTGGAAATAACTGCAGAGCGCTCCTGGAGACTTTACAGTCGAGCACTTCTCAGATCTTGTTGCAGAACTGTTCTGGTTCTTTCCAGCGCCAGTGTTTTCTGACTGGAAACCGTGTAAACTTTATGCAGTCTCCAGAGTAATTCTCCAGTTAATTTAGATTGCCCCAAAGTTTGTCCTTTAAATCCTGGCCTTGTTGACAGAAATCTGAAAAATGGTATTACTGTTATTAGCCAAGGTGTCTCCTGAGTGTGCTTAGTTTACTTGCATCTCTTTTCAGGAAGTAAATGCACTTGAATGTGAGATTCAGCTGCTGAAAAACCTGCTCCATGAGAGAATTGTTCAGTATTATGGCTGCTTGAGGGATCCCCCGGAAAGAACCCTCTCCATATTCATGGAGTACATGCCAGGGGTAAGCAAGAGAGCTCATTGCGGGTGGCGATGGTGAGGTGACAAGGCCTCCGGTGGATGAGTGTTGCAGGATCACACACGCAGATGTTAAAAGAGAAGGTAGTCTCTGCAAGCTGCCACATCGCTCTACCTTCTGCCTGACTTCAGACTAACGCTGCTCACCATCTCTGTACAGGTGTTCAAGAAATGTCAAATAAATGGGCAGCCAAAGATGATCAGCTAGATGAGGAACATCTGACTCTTGTCTACTGTGTTAATTGTTTATTAATTATACATTAGAATAGTTTAGGTAGATTGTTCATTGACTGCATCTGATTGGGAATTTCCTGCACCAAAGCCTTCTTTTCAGGACTTGCTAGTTTTTATGAGCTCTGGTGAGACAATGTCAGAAGTGTCATTTTTAGAAGTGTTTTAATTTGTTCTCTTCCTGTCTTCATAATGGTTTAAAACGAACGGTATAATTATGTCAAACGAACTGCCCGAGCAATTAACAGGAGGGCATTTTATCCCAGGTTTCATCCTGCTACATCTTAGACCTCAAATAGCTTTAGTTTAATCCATCCTCTGCATCGCCCAGTGTGGTCTTTGACTGTCACATAAAGTAGTTGGGGTAGAGGCAGAAAGTGTCTTGCTGAAAGACATTCCCATTATCATTGCTTAACCGTCAGCCCTTCAGAGAAATCATGTTTAGAGGAATAAGCACTTTGGTTTCTTGCAGTCTTCCTTTCCTTTGTCATGTCCTTGTGACAAGGTATTTAGCAGATTCACTGGAGTCTGACAGGCTGCGCCATGAACAGTTCTGTTATGGCCTTGGAACGTGGGACCTCTGGGCTGTCCGCTGTACACCCTAGCGCCCAGGCCACCCCAGCCCCCTCACGTCTACCATCCTATTAATGGCTTAATCTTCTCATTTTGATCGAGATGTAACTCTGGATCTACAGTAAGGTGATGCAGAGAAGTTCAGACAGAACATTGTACCTCTTAAATGTCGGATGAAACTCGACTCCACAAAATCTGAAATAGAAATCTAGCTTTAGAGGGAGACTACTCAGGTTGCTAAAAACAATGCGTTGTTTAATGTTTTCTCTCTTTGGCTGCAGGGGTCTATCAAGGACCAGTTAAAAGCATACGGAGCGCTCACAGAGAACGTGACCCGAAAATACACCCGACAGATTCTGGAGGGAGTTCACTACTTGCACAGAAATAAGATTGTACATAGAGATATTAAAGGTAATTAATAATAAATCTGATTCTGCATTTATATCAGGGGTATTGGTTGTAGCTCTGTTGGTCTTAAGACATTGGCAGGCAAGGTTCTTTGGGTAAATCCAGTACCTTTTTCTAGACCAATTAAAATAGCTGGGAAAATTCTTCTTTAAAGCTTTCTGGTACATACACCCTTCGTCAGGCTGTTTGGGGAATATACTGGATTATACAGCTTTTAAATTACGGCATCTACAGAGCAGAGACTTGGATTAAATGCGGCAGCGTACATAACTGACAGTTTCAGGCTCTCTTCCGACACAGCTTGATGACACACTCAGCTCTCCTTGGCCTGCACTTGTGAGGTTTCCTGTGGAACCAAGGCTAGATACCTTTTCCTAAATGAAATATTTATTTATAAGATTTCAGAACAAAATGCTATGGCAGGGGAGCAAATTCTGTGAGCATGGGTTCCACAGGGTCCTGATTATAATAAATTAGTGAAACCCAATATGTTTTGCTACCGTGCACTCCGATACAGTTCAGGAGCCGTTAATAAGATAAATATAATGATTGATTGAATTTCTTCCCCCTCCCTCCCTTCAGGAGCAAATGTTCTGCGAGATTCAGCAGGCAACGTGAAGCTTGGAGATTTTGGTGCCAGCAAACGACTTCAGACTCTCTCTCTCTCTGGTACGGGAATGAAGTCGGTCACAGGGACTCCATACTGGATGAGTCCTGAAGTGATCCGTGGAGAAGGGTATGGCAGAAAAGCAGATATCTGGTACGTTCCCATCTACCAAGAGGTATTTGCATACTGCCCCAGATCAAAGCTGAATTAGTGTTCAGTATTTTATGCTGGAGTGCTCTAGTTATGGTTCTCCGGCAACATGTAAAAACACTGTTCGGGTAACAAAGGACGTACTGGGAAAAGCTGACGTGGAATGGTTTGTTTTTGGTATATTAGTGACTGTGCTCATTGATTTAGAGATCCCAGCGAGCCACGCTCAGGTAGCAGGAGGCCCACCTGATATTTGTAAATACTGCCGGGGCATTAGTTAAAGGGGTATAAAAAGAAATTGAGATTTAACCACTGATGGCAATTACCATGGTAGTACTAGTCCAAACCATATGGTGACTGCTGTCACGTTGAGAAGGTTCAGAGTCCCAACTGGTGTATATTCTTTGCTGCTTCTTTCATTTCCTTAAAATTGTTTTAACAGCATGAGTCACCTGTTGCAGTCTATCCTGTTGTTTCTCAGCACAGAAGGATCAGCCAGATGTATACCTAAAAAAAAATAAAAAAATAAAGCTTAAGTAGTTGTAGCATCCAGGGCAGTTTGATGCATTTTGATCCTTACTATTTTTTTTAAATACAACTGACCTAGTAGCAAGTAGATGTCTCTATGGTTTGCTGGTACTCAAAAATGCTAACGTGTGAAATGATTTATATAAACCTTATTCCTCCCCAGGATGGTTGGGATACAGAATACACAATGAAGTACAGTTTCTTAACTCAAACTCCTCCATTTTGCATTGTTATTCAGATACTTATAACAAAGATTTAGCTTCCGGGGCTCGTAGAAAAGAGTTGCCTTGTATATACAGACAGCTCTCCTGTACTACAGAGTTTAGAAATCAGCCTTTGTGTAAAATTAAGCAGTTGATTTTGAAGGTCTAGCCTTTCTTGCAATCTCTGATAATGACCTGGTTGCCACAGAAGTCCTTTGCCCTGAGGTAAGCGGAGGTAGAGTTCTTGGGCTGCGTAGTGCTCCTACCACCTAGCCAAACTCTGAGTCTGAGCTAGTTGCCGATGGCACTGACACTAGACTCTGAAACTGCCCCTGAAATTCAGATTTAATTCCGTCTCTACCCCTTACTGGAAAGTAAGACGGCAGCCTGCTGTCTAGATCAACACCCTCTGCTAAGATGATGGTTGTTGGGTTAGTTGGCAGGTGGAGCAGAATATCTGCTGTGATCTTCTGTGTGTTGTGTGCGCTTGTGCACAAGAATGGGGAATCGGTGTACTTCTGTTGGAATTGCAGTGCAGCGGGAAGTGGACAGCGATCTGCAGTAGTTGCCACGTGGTAATTCTTACTTCCGCAGGAAAGTCGGAGCCTGTTGTAACCTGCTCTTTCACATTTGCTTCTGTTTCAGGAGCGTAGGTTGTACCGTGGTGGAAATGCTCACTAAGAAACCCCCGTGGGCAGAGTTTGACCCAACCCCTGCTATGTTTAAAATTGGCAGCCAGCCAACAGACCCACAGCTGCCACGTCACGTCTCGGACCATGCTCGGGATTTCCTGAAGTGCATTTTTATTGAGGCCAAGCTGCGACCGTCTGCAGATGAACTGCTAAGGCACACATTTGCACATTATCACTAGCTGCCTGCCTCAACCCAGCTTGCATCTACTGCATTTATTTTCTAAGAAAGCAGACAAGACTAGAAAAACCTGCTGCCAAGACTTCTGAGAAGACTCCAGGCAAGAGCCCTTCAAGAAGTCCAGCAAAGTCACCTCAAAGAAGTCCTTCCACATCAATACGATTGCTATTTACAATATAAGTACGTTTAATGTAGCTATATTACTCATCTATAATTGATTGAGTAGAAAATTCTGGGGTATTTTTGGGTAAGATACGGTATCAGGCCTGGATTCAGGAACCCATCTCCCATTTATAACATTGTTTCTTGTGAGAAAATTGATTCTGAGTTGCAATGTTTCGACTTAAAACGTGGTTTTCAGGAACTGATTTTGTCATAAGTCCAAGGACCGCCTGCATTTAGCAGAAGGATCTTTTCTCCCCTACCAGGACCAGAACCGTTTTATTTCTACAGTGTACTGATGTGGTCGTATTACAGATCCCCGCTAGGGCTGTGTGAAAGGGTTATGTTTCATTTTGGTTTTGGTGTTTCGGAGGGACAGTGATTCATTTTGGTGTTTTTGATCGCTGTCCCGTTTCGACTCAGCTGAATCAGTTTTGGAGTTTCAGGGGTGTTTTGGCCATAGGCTATAATGGGAAATCACGAACATGCCTGTAACTTTGTCATTTCTTGCCTGATTCGGATGAAAATCGCAGAGATGCTAGCCCCTTCTGAGGACATGAAGGGAGGGAGGTGCGGGGGTTTTTTTGTGAAACTGCACCTCAAACTGTTCAAAGCAAAACTAGTATCAGTTGTTGGCAGTGGCAGCCTGCTGTCATCCCGCACGCGGATCCGGGGTCTCTTCCTCCCCCCCCCACCCTCGAGGAGTCTGACACAGCCCCCGCATCCTTCCGGGGGGACGCGGGTCTCCGGATCTGCGTGCAGGATGACGGCCGGCTGAGGCCAGCACTGGTATTCGGCCCTTCCTGGCATTCGGCGCAGGCTGCGCCAAACAGACTCGAGTGCTGACATTGGTCCCAGCCGGCAGCGGCAGCCTGCCATCATCTACACGCTCCACAGCCAGTGGATCTTTTGTTAGACCAGCCCAGTAGTTGGAAAAGTATTTATGAACTTGTTTTTTAAAGATACTATGTTTAGTTGGTATAATTATAGTTTCATAGTAGCGAGGGTCAGGAGGGACCTGACCAGATCATCTCGCGTGACCCCTGCCACAGGCAGGAATGATTGCTGGATTCAAAAGACCCCAGACAGGTGATCGTCCAACCTCCTCTTGAATGTGCCCAAGGTAGGGGCGAGGACCATTTCCCTGGGAAGCTGGTTCCAGATTTTGGCCACCCGAACTGTAAAATATTGCCTTCTGATCTCCAACCTAAACCTATTCTCCATCAGCTTGTGACCATTGTTCCTTGTCACCCCAGGTGGTGCTGGGGAGAAAAG